TGGTATGGGTGCTTGGAACCAAACTCCAGTCCTCTGGAAAAGTAGCAAGTGCTCACAACCATCTATCTCTCCAGCCCCTATAAGTATGTTTTTTAAACTGGGAGGCACAGCCATTCATCAGATATAGTTTCACACTTGGCAAACCAGCATTTTGGATTTCTAAACTGTTATAGAGTGGAGTAAAAAATCCTAGGGTGAAAGTTTGGTTATTGGTGTTTGTAGGTGTGGCCTACAATGAGACAGTTGCCTGCCACGCTTGCTAACAGAATCTTCACACGTCTCAAATATGGAAAAGAGATGGAGAGAGGAGGAGGAAGCAGTGAGGGGGCCACTCCACCCTCAAGTGCCATGCTTCAGTTATCCTGAGGGTACCTGAATGTGATGTCGCAGCCAGTGAGACTCTAGGGATATAGCAGTGTCACCTCACTGGGGCCCGCTGCCTGCCTGTGTCCACCTCTTGTCACCCCCAGTCTAAGTTCTCACTTGAGCCTTTCAAGTCCTTCATCAGCACAAAGCCCCCGTGGTCTGGCATGCACTGCCTGAGACTAGAAAAGCCCTTTACTGCAACACCAGGGGTTTGAGTCCGTTCCCTCTCTTCAAAGTGCTGATCAAAGAACTCCAAAGACTTTAGGGCTCTGGAGACTCAGAGGGCCCTCTATGTCTGGAGTCCCCATCTGATCTGAGACACAGGCAGGTCACCACCCAGCTCCTTCCCACGGCCCAGGGAAACAGTGTAATCTTTTGTCAGATCCTAGCAGAGGGAAGGCAGATAAGCAGGGCTGGAGAAGGGCAGCACGTGCGTGTTGCCTGTTGTGAGCATTGCCTGTTGTGAGCTGGCTGTGCAGGCGCCAAGTGGCATGGTGGCTTCGGGCAGGAAGATGGTCCATCCCTTATGTCCAGCTCTATTGTGGGAGGACTTTCAGGGCTGTGCTGAACAGGCTCTGTGACTTCTGGTGGGTGAAGGGCCCCCGAACCTTCATCTTATCTACAAAATGACTGGTGTATCTGTCACTTCATCTACAAAATGACACAGTGTATCTGACTGGTTTCCTCAAAAAGATGTGTTTCAATCCTAGTGTCTGAGCCCTAGGAATGAGACTTTATTTGAAAATGGGATTGTTTCAGTGCCCAGCAGCACCTTATCTGGTAGAGGATGCTCTTCAAGTCCCCTGGTGGATGCCCGAAGCTTTGGATAGTGTCAAATCCCATTTATGTATATGATATATATGCACTCCACATATAGTGAATTTATATAATTGCATGTACAAAAATGTGCTTTGTTCTACACATATGTGCTATGCTGGCTAGTTTCATGTCAACTTTACATAAGAGTTATCTGAAAGGAGGAAACCTTAATTAAGAAAGTGCCTCCATAAGATCAGTTGCAAAACATTTTTTTAATTAATGAATGGTGGGGGAGGGCCCAGCCCATTGTGGGTGGTGCCAACCCAGGGCTGGTAGTCCTGACTTATGTAAGAAGATGGGCTAAGCAAGCCAGTAAGTAGCACCCTTCCATGGCTTCTGCATCAACCCCTGCTTCCAGGATCCAGCACTATTTTCGTTCCTGTCCTGACTTCCTTCAGTGATGAACAGTGTGCCATGAAAGAGTAAGCCCAATAAACCCTTTCCTCGACAAGTTTCTTTGGTCATGGTGTTTCATCACAACAATAGTAACCCTAACTAAGACACATACCTATGGTAAAGTTTGACTTATCAACAACTGCTATTAAATGCAATAGATATATTGTAATAAAGGATAAGGGAATGGGCTCTTTCTCAAAATGTCTTATCATACTCTTCTTCTTATCCAAAGGAAGCACTTTGTAGCTTTCCTTGGAATGTCCAGATTGTCAACTCAATGCTCTTGCACTGTGGGGCCAAAACTAAAATAAGGGTTACGTGAGCACCAGCACTGCGGTACCATGACAACCAATGTGGTGAGAAGGAGCTACTTACTGGCTACTTACCATGCCACTCAGAGTGCTGTGTAGTTTGACATTCCTGAATCAGTTGTTTCTGGAATTTTCCATTTAACATTTCTGGACCTTGGTTGAACAGAGACAGGGAGTTTGCAATAATTAAGAGTAGAATCTTGCAGCAAGATCTTCCATGGTAAGGGTGGACCCTGTTCAGGGCCCCTGTGCCCTTAGAAGAGACAAGATGGAAAGACACGAGATACAGGGATGCATAGTGAAAGGCCTCGTGTCAGTGCAGCCAAGATGGGAGTGGTGCAATAGCAAGCCAGGAAACACTAATTTTCCTCAGGGCTTTCAGAAGAAGCTGTCCTGTAAACACCCTCAACTTCTTTCTGGCCTCCCAAACCAGGAGGGGTCATTTGTTCTTTTTATACACCTGATTTGTGGCAAATGTTGCTGCTGCAGCCCTAGGGATAAAAACAGATGGGAGCAATAATCACCCCCAAAGAAACCAAGCATGGAGTTGCATGTCAGTAACCCTGTGTGGGCAGTCCTCAGGCAGCAAGTCCTATTGTTGAATTTTCAGGCCCACCTGCTCACCCATCACTCGGTGAGCCTATGCCATTCTGTACCCAATGGCTGTCTGCACTTTTGGGTGTGTCGGTATCCTCTCTTCTTACTTTACATAGCCAAGTGTTTTGAAATGTAGTTCAAGTTTTAAAATGTGTGTTTTTTTTGAATGGGGTGTAAAACATGACATGCTGGGCAGTGGTGGTGCACACCTTTCATCCCAGCACTCAGGAGGCAGAGGCAGGAGGATCTCTGTGAGTTCAAGGCCAGCCTGGTCTACAGAGTGAGTTACAGGACAGCCAGAGCTACACAGAGAAAACCTATCTTGAAAAACCAATAGATAGATAGATACATAGATAGATACGTAGGTAGATAGGTAGGTAGGTAGATAGATAGATAGATAGATAGACAGACAGACAGACAGACCTGAAGCACTGCAGAAGGTTATGTTGTAGTACAGTTCTCTCTCACACACCCAG